GGTTTCGAACACATTTTGACATGCGGCAAACTTATTGTCATCATTATGTTTTACATTTTTTATTCGTCAATCGGTTATAGGTATATATTACAATCGGTTCGACGGCTTTCCAATGTACCTACCCGTACACAACAGTAGCAATTATATTATAAACACCACGACAGATTTTCGTTTTCATTTGATGCAGCATTATGGCAGTAGAACACTATTGTGTTATTATATCGAACGATGAAAATATGCGCCAAATCTTATCAGGGGGTCTTGCAGTCGGCCAAAAAAAAAAAAAATCAAAATCAAAATCTTATTGTTATCGTTTGATCATTTGATAAATAAGGGAGGAGAGAAAAGAAATTCACCTATCAAGTTGATATTTGTATCAATAAGTCTGAGTGAATTGAATAAAACAAGAAATATAGGGTACACTTATGATGGATGTTGTTCATAGTTATCAAATGGCTGCGATGTGACAGTTACACGTGACGACTTGTTAGAGTGAACGCATGTGTTGATGTGTGTATACGAGGTCCTAATTTTGTGGTATGACGGTAATTTTTTAGTTGCATTTAGTTACAAGGTTTTTTTTTACATTTTACTCATTTGAGTCATAAAGATATGCAATTAAAAACAAAATTTTCATTAATAAAGCCAATAATGTATAAATAAATAGTAAGCTAATAACTAATAACCATTAACATTTTTAACGAATTGAATGGCCCTGATTGCCGATTGTTGAGCTCCTCCACCTATGTGTATCAAAGTCTTCGGAAAAGTATTTTGTTTATGAAATCAAAATATATTTAATCGTCGATTAAAGTTAAACAGTTTTGAAAAGTTTAATTTATTTTCCAGAACACACAAGTTTATCGATAAAATAACTGTTTCGTAATAAAAGAATAATCATGTCCATGTTCAATACAGTAATATAGCGTCTATCTAATGACCACCATCCTTCCAAATCGGTATTCCGATCACTTTAAAGTTTAAATGTATATCATAATATTATACACGCGTGGCTTATTATATATATTGTTATCTTATCATCATCGTCATTATTATAATCATTACGTTTAATTGTATGTATGTAAAGTATTGTGACAAACATCCGTTTCGACTACTGCAGTGCGATGAAAACACATTCGGAATAGAAATCTGAGACGTCGAACGCGTTTTCCTATGAACCTACATAGAATGTCGTTCAATGTGTGATTAGTCAACCGGGAGAAATACCGATGCACTAACCGCGTGTGATCTCGTGTGTCCCCGCACGCGATATATTATGTGACGATAGGTATAATAAGAATAATAATTGACATTTTGATTGTACGTATTGTATTATAAACGACGTTGTAAAAGATCCACTTCAGCATCCTCATCGTCTGTATTGTTGCTAATACCGTCGTTCTGAGGACCTCCGATTATTGTCAAACATATTTTATATATATGTTAAATATATATATATATATATCACGATCGCGTGTAACGCCGAACGGATTATTGTTGTACGCGTGGAATTTTAGACGGAATGATATATATGTACATACAATATATTTTGTTGGGTATATTATATTATATTATATTGTTGTTTTGGATAATAGTCGTACGTATATTTTATCGGATGGTTCTAATATGGAAAGTTTTCGAACATATTTCATCGAAATCGAAATTTTCATCAGATCTTTTGACATACCTAGGTATTACATTATACATTTATATGATTATTGTATTTTAGAAGACCCATCGCAAATATTATTATAAATATAGAAATCAACGTTGAAGATTGAGACCACCGAAAATGATGATTCGAATAAACGCTCACTACGAGTAATTTGTTTTGAAACTGTTGATCTGCAATCACTAAGTTGTAGATTATATGGAAATAAAATAAAAATCAACGCCTTACAAATTACACAATAGCTACATTTATTTAGAAAACCAAAGGGTACCAGGTTCTGAACGAGTGTATATTGGGTACCGATATTTTTGAAGTTTATTTAATTTCGAATAAGTAATAACTGTTACGTATAAAGTTTGTATACATACATAATATTATAACCATTGAGCTATCATAGTCCTGAATTTTGATATTCGTTAAAAGTAAAGATGTCCCTTTTTAATAATTTATTTTTTGTTCGGGATTAGAAAGTCAGTATAAATATAATTCAACATTTTTCTGGTCCAAGGTCATCAATTATTTTTCTTGAAAACAATAATTTTTCAATAAGTTCAATGATTTAGCTGTAGTGAAATCTATTATAAGAAATACACCAAACTATTAAGTGATGTAATAGTAATACAATACAAAATGATTATAGTTATCGATTTTCTCTGATTTTGTGACATTAATAACTTATTACAAGTATAAATAGACAATCTAAAAAACCGATTTCTGTAACACCAAAATCTTAAAATTTCTTTCTTAATCTGTACTACTAATATACCTAGATGCCAATATAGCAAAAATAAAATATTATTACTTAAAATAATTACCTTTAGAATAGTTAAAGTTAATAGTGACATGATAGGTACTTAAAAATATAGAATATCTTGAAAATTAATTTTACTCTTTGAAATCAATACAACATTTTTTATTTCATGTTTCTAATTTTATTAATCTGATATTGTTTTTTAAAATTAATGACCTTAATATTTTTAATTAAAAATTAGATTTATCTACTAATTTATTTGTTCCGACGTCTTATTTTTATCCGTTATTTATAGAATATGAAATGATACAGAATAATAAATACATTGATACGAAAAGGGAGAAGGGTGACAGGATACCATATTCTTTCACTCATTTTTGTATTAATCTTTTATTCCCCTCTCTTATTTTGTATATAACTGCTTATCCCTTTTAGATTTTTTTAAATTAATTATTCCATAATTAATCTATAATCTCATACTTATAGATTATAGAAGACATAAAATTATGTTGACTTATTTTTTGTTTACAAAAATATCTGTAAATTATTTTATTTTATTTATTTTTTTTTTTTTTTTTGATACTGAAAGTCAATGGGTTATTCATTAAAGATATAAATTCAATATACAAGCATCTATAATCATATATTGGTGATCAATCATTAATCACTAATGGCTAATAATTAAGAATTAAGATATATAACAGCACGTCAGCACTCTACAATACGATAGGTCATAGATGATATATAGTACTAACTTATGAAAACACAAAATTTAGGAATTAGCTGGATACCTGGATTAAAAGTCCCCTCTCACCGCTTATTTAAATCTTCTCCACTGCTGAACATTTTAAAAACTTTTTTAATTCATACATAAAATGTTGTTTTATTGAATCTATTTTAATCTAAGTGTCTATATAATTTTTATCCCCTGTGTAAATTATGTATTTCTGGTGAGAATGACAGTGCAATTTTTTTAAAATATTATGAAATAATGTACATATAATATAATATATTTTAAACGTAACTGATATAGTTATAGTTTCACTTTTTTTTCTCTAAGTTAAATACCGATATTTAGTATGTCAACACGATACCTATCTATAGAATATGTAGTTACGATGAATAATAGACGTATGAATAATATAACATTATGACCGAATAATTCTATTAGGTAATATTATACGAACTCTTCGATTATCATTTTTTACGCGCATGGATTTTTTTCTAACTGTACTGTATGGTGGTAGGTATATTATGTATATATCCGTGTAAAGAGATAAGAAAAACAACATACAAAATACTTTACAAATAAAAATATGGGTAATATTGGTGCTTAGCGAGAAAACCCATCAAAAATTAAAAACATTTTATTATAGCTATACCTAATATATTAAAAGTAGGTAGCTATATAATAAAAAACATAGAGTAATATTAACATGCGTTTTTGATACATTATATTTATGTGCGTAAGATTCGCTAATGACTACTTATCAGGACTTGCAAACGTTATAATAATGTTATAGTTATAACGTTATATTTGACAAAAAACCGATTGAAATTTGTAAACGTAATTATAACGGAAAACGATAAATATAAATAATTAAATAACACAAAACAAAACATAACGATTAAAAAAAATTATGATTTATCCTCAAAAAAAACATAACTCAAAACGTTATATATATTATATAGTATATCATTAAAAAAAAATTAATTATTTAATTAATAAATAATAAAATATAATAAAAATGTTAATTCTGAATAACGATAAACGCAAAAGTTGAATAACGTTTAAATTCTGAATAACGATAAACGCAAAATTCGTATAACGTTTTAATTGTAAATAACGTAAAACGATTTTTTTTTTTCAAATGCAAGCCCTACTACGATAATTATTGAAAATTGTACTGGCCCGCAAATCTTTTTATGAACAATTATCCAGATTTCTACCAAAGAGATTTTCGGAAATGGTTATGGCGTTTGATAAAACTATCAAGTTTTCACTAACGCACATTAAAGTCACCAAAACATATAGGTTCCTAATAACATTTTTTTCTTTAAACTAACCTCGTAATCATAATAATTTGGATAATCACGTTTAAATATTTGCTAACACCATAATATTATAATTTACAAGAAGTTACAACATTGGTGATTTTATTTTTTAAAAAGGCAGTTGACAGAATTCTTAGCTATAAACTCACAAATCTTAAATTTATGCTTATGCTTGATATTATTAATATAATTTTTCCGCTGGTAATTGTAATAATCGACGAGACACGTATCATTTTATCGGTTCCGTCATACGACGGAAGTAATTATTATTTTATCTTCAGACGAATCCGTTTTCATTTGGTTCGAAAACACATACGTCGGATATTTTTACCTTCCGTCTGCACGCTCGCACGCACACACACACACGTCTGGCGGGAGAGTTTCACTCTCGACAAGAAAAGCGTCCCCTCTCTGTCCGTCGTAGGTAACTGTCGATCTCCGCAGAGCGCGGGAAATCTTTGACCGCCTCTACTCGTGACGGGTTGGGTTCGGTTTGGATCTGTAAGCACAGTCGCACTACTATCGCCGTCAACATGTCGCAGTCTCCGAGTGCCGTCCGTTAGAATAGAGACGTCGCTTAATAATAATTATTGTCACTATCGTCGCGTTGACTGTGATTTTCGTTTCGAAGCAGTGTTTTCCCGTACATCCGGTTAAACGGTTTTCGGTTTTTCGTCTATGAAATCTCGTTTTTTGCGGCCAAATGAATAATGGCCAACACCGTTGCGCCGACCATGTGTTATAGTCGCGGGTCCACGGCGGCGGCCGGTCTGTTTGTTTTATTGTCGTTGACTTTAAGTCACCCGTCCGCCGCGGAAGTTCGGCATGCCCGACACAAGAGGACAGTATCGGATCTCATGGAAGGACTCATGAACGCCATGTATTTTAACGTGGATCCAATGCCCTTGCCCTCCACCGTAATCGCCCGAATCACTCACTTGACGGCACCCAATAAAGTTTACAAGTATAATAGCTGATATTATTACTATTATTATTGTTATTATTACATTCGCACACAATTATATTTATGTACGACACTTAACTGATATAGTCTTACTTACAATGCTTACTCATAATCGGTTTATAGGACGTATTTAAAAAAAATATTTCGTTAGGTACAAATCATTTTTATTCGATTATTATTAATATACAGATAAACAAAACATAATAGATTACAAATACAATTTTATTTCAAATATTGTATTGTCACCAATATTGTTGAATTTAAAAATATTTACTTTCATAAATTTTAATTAATTATTTAGTTTCTTTTCAATTGACAGTTAAATGAAAATTATACATGATTACTTAAGTACTTCTGCCTAATAATAGCATATATTAAAAACAAATTAATTTCCCTTTTTTTATTTTTAATAGATAATAATTATAAAAAAATAACAATTTTTGAAAATAAATTGTTAAAATTTAAATTTTTTTTTTCAAATTTGTTAAAAATGCGTATTTAAAAATATTCTATACTCATATCTCAATATACGAACAAATTTGTATTTTTGTTTTAATAGTTTCACTTTTATTCCTATATTTAAATTATAAACACATGACAAAACATATAAAGTATTTATAATAATTTTCGATTTTATGTTCCAACTAAATTAAACCATGGTACATGAAATAATAATTATAAATAGGACGCCGTCATTACATATATGTATATATAACTATATAAATATAATTGTATTATACTGAATGTATTAAATACAGTCTGTGTGTTGATATCATATATTTTATTTTAATGTTAATTCGTTAAAAAAAACTACCATAACTGATATTAAAAAAAAAAACTGAAGAAGAAAAAGTCCATCAAAATGATATTTTATTTTTTATATTGCTAGTATACACTATACAGATTATCTTCAAAATGTTGAAATACATCTCAAAAATGAATTAATTGTATTTAAGAGCTTTACGTTCCATAAAACTTGGTATTTTTGTTTATAACTTTTAATCCATTGGTGTTTATTTAATTTCATGAAACTACTTAATGATATAGAATTTATTAATTCAATCCTATCTCAAGGGTAAAAATTGTATGACATAATATACCGATACTTGTGACACTCAAACCTGGTAAAATTTTCAAAAAAATGTTTAATCATAAATATTCAATTATTTGGGTATTAATTTCCAAAATGAGATTACAAAATGTCTACAATAGAAATTAAATTTTCCGTTAATTTTGGATTATGTAAACTTTTACAAACATTATATTATGTTTACTACGTGCAATTTATTGGCGCATTGTAGCTATTTCACTTTCAGTTTAAAACCTCACTTCAATTACATTTTATAATAAACAATAGAAAAATTAAAAATGATAAAATTGGTCACAACATTTTTTTAAATATCAATAACCATTGTGATATTTAATATCGATGTTCAGTGTATCGAAATAACCAATTTTTTTTACATAACGTATTAGATAAGAAGTGTTTTATACGTACAAAGTGGAAATTATATTGGATTGTATTGTGACATTATTTTTTTTTAGAATTATGCATAATAAACTATCGATACCAAATTGCTATTACTTCCGTAGCATTTGTTTAAGATTTGAAATTTTATTGTTTTCTTATAGCTATCTAAAACATTGTAAATGATAATAATATCCACACCACAAACATCTTTGATTATTATATATATTATTGTGTTTCAAATTATTATTATTTTTTTTTTTTTTAACAAAAGTAATACAATTTATATTTAGATGAATTACATAATAAAACAGAAAGTATAAGTATTATAGAGTAAAAAATAAAATACTATAGGAATTTAAGATATTCATAGATATTCATACTTATTTAGTAAAATATTTTGATGCGATTATTAAAGAATAAAATTACGCTTGTGCAGTCAAAACAATTTTTTTTTTTTTATTATGAATTACTGTAAAAACGCTAATAACAGAAGAGAAGATGGATGACAGACGCGTGTATTGAATATTTTTCATTCGTCATAGATAATTTTTTTACACTTATTTTATTTATTTATTATTATATATATATATTTTTTTTTTTTTTTGTTAAGGAGAAAAGTATAATATTGTTGTATAAATAATTGATCAATTTTGTTGGGTAACTAAATAATTTTATCTTAGAGTTATTAGGTAGTACAATGAGCTAATTTTAATCTTTATGAGATTTATAATAAATATAAAATAATATTAATTCAAAACAATATTATTTAAAGGTTATAATTTTATTATATCACATACTCGTATTACCAAATATTTAAATTCTAGTGCTATACGTTTTTTTTTTTTTAAATTGCATAAATACTTTTAAAATTGATAATAGTATATATTTTATATCCCTTGAAAAATAATTTTTATTATTACCTATTATAACTTATGTTTCTAGAAAATTTATATTTATATGTATAATAGGCAGTTTATAGATATTATTTTAATGGTGTTATGTACACTAGTCCATTGCTTTAAACTAAATAGTTAATGGTAAAAATATATTAGGTGATTATTTTTTTTATTAAAACTTCTATTAATACATTCAATCATAAATTCGAATCATTATCATTTATTCAATGTATCTAAAAAATTATGCTACAATGTTTAAACGATTCACTTGAATTTTTATTTAAACTTATGTTATTTGGTATCACGTACAATACTATTGTTTATAATCATAGTTTAAAATCAGCACTCAAGAGAAAATACCTTTGTCTAATTTAGATTGCAAACAATCGTTTATGAAACTATATTCATTTTATTTTTTTATTTTTTAGTCTTTTTCACGACATTTTTATTTTTATTTAGATACGGTAGATTGACGCGTTTGGTTTTTTTTTTACAGGTATGTTCCAGTGCAAACATTAAAGTTATCAAAATTTCGTGCTCGTCATATAGGTGAACCGAAATTAAGACAAAAATATCCAAAAAAAATTTCAATAGCTACAAAAGACGCGTCGTTGACCTTGTTGAAAAACGATCTGCCGTGGACGCTACACCCGCTTCCACCTCCTCTGCCAACGTCCAAAACGATTAAGCTTGAGGTGGAAAAATCTATGCCGTGGGCCTTGCACCCACTTCCACCGCCTGTTAAGACGAAAAATTATTCCGATTACTATTGGCCGGACTCTAAGACACGGCCAAAGTACTTTTACAGGGCATTGCCATTAAAATCATACCGCTATACCAACAATAATTACAAATACAAAAATCCAAAGGTTCAAGCCAACTTCAAACCCGCCTTGGAGTACAGCAAGCCCGCGGTCGATTATAAGACCACCGTCGATCATAATACGAAACCCAACGATTACAATGGTCCCGCCGACCATAAGCAGCCCGTCGATTATGATAGTAATAATAATCATAATGACAATAATAATCAGGTAGACTACCCGCTTGATTCGTTCAAGTACATAGATTACAAGCACACCGATTACAAGCACGTCGATTACAAGTCTCCAGACTATAAGTCCGAATATCCAAAGCATACGATAGACGATGAGACGCATGAAAATATAAACGACGATGACCACTTCGATCACAACGACATTTATCATTATTCTCACGACGATCACTCGGCTCAAAGCAACAATTTGCAGTCGCCACCGTCACAGCCGCCACCTTCTGCCGAGTATGTTTCACACATCACCATTCAACCGTCCATACAGATCGCATCGTTTTCAGAATCGGAACTGCAAGGCGACGGTACAAACAGTGACAGTAGCAGCGTGTCTCAGGGAGACGCTAAACACCACAGATCGTGTCAGTGTACGATAAACGGACACCGACACAAACGTGATGCCGGCGACGACAATGCCGGTGACCACAACCTTCGCCGTTTGCCGTGGACGATGAACAGTACAGCTGTAGATATCAACAAAAATTATGATATCAACAATCGAACGGCAAACCGGAAGCCAATAGATACTAACACGGCGCAGTCTTCACGGAATGTGTACATTGCTCCGCGAGTCGGACATGCAACCGACGTGCAAATAATCAAGTCACACGACATCACCGATCAGTCGATGATCAATGTTCCAAGTTCTGTGAACGGTCCTAGTTCTACGAATGGCCCTCATCTTGCGAACGGTATGGGTTACGTGCACAAAGTACGCAACATGAATAATGACCATCCAGTCATAAAGCTGTCGTCTGTTGAAACGGATCACGGACAGGCGAAAAAGAATACGACCACGTTCAGGGACGAGAGTGATAAGTTCAAAGTGGAATTTAATCGTGACATAAACAATTGGGATAAGTCGCAATCGGCCGGCAACAAACAAGGACGGTACTCGTTGATAAAATCTGATGTAAGCAGTGATGATAGTGGAGGCGGTGGAGAGAACTCGAAAATCACGAATGACTACGGACACCGACCGACCAGGGACAAACCGGACATGCGAGAGAAAGGCTATCACGTGGTCAGGAGCAAGGTGGAGAATACGAATCGAGGCGTATCGTTCAGCGTGCAGACTCCCTTTTCCGTTTCCAGTTTCTCTACGAACGTCCGACATCCGGAAGAACACCAGTCCCGGTTTCGTTACACCGGACACAAATCCGAGTTGTCACCATCGCTATCGTCAGAACCGTTGTTATCCTCGTTCCAAAACCAATATTCAGAACCGGCGCTGGACTTTGAGCAGTTCGGCTTGAAATCGGCTTTAGACGACGACCATCCGCTCAATCCTGATCATTTTTCACGAGACTTATTCGAAAACAAATCACCTGAAATTGGCCGACTCTCATCGCGATTTCAAGAAAACTTCGGAAGTGTTGCAACAGATAGACGTCCCAGTCTCGGGATTTCGGATCGACCAGCCTCTTATTTTTCGAGGGATTTCGGCCGTGATGACCGGAGTCGTTTGAAAACTTCATTGAAACCGTTTCAGTTTAACACAAAACACGGATCATCTCAGTCTTCTGATGATTTGTTCGACATCCGGTCGAAAGGTGGGCGTCCGCCGACTGAAGAATCGTTCTTAGAATATTTCCAACCAGTTGTAATTGATTTTGAAAACAATTCAAAGCAGGGCAATAGTGATTTCTCCAAATCGTTCGGCAGCAGCAACAACAACTACGGAGGTAACGATAAATCACGGTACTTCGGTAAAACGGAAAATTCAGTTTTTTCAAAATTCAAAAAAAATCATAACTCTGATCAACTCCGATTGCCCGGCCGTTTACACGAATCCAATGAGAATTTGTCAAGAAAAATGCTTTTACATCCTTCCACATTCGACATAGATTAGCGCGAGTGACTAGTTATTTATACATAACAGCAGTCAATATCATTTTTCGGCTTACGCCTAAATTACTTTAAATGCATTTCCGTTATAAACTGTGATTTACTTAACAATCGTCGATTGTAATATAAAAAAACATATTAGGCCATCATGCACTTTATGTTTGTAAACAATCATTATTATTATACGTATAATATAAATACATCACTATTTTAAAATAATGTATACGTAACTATTTCCAACTATGTTCTAAAAAGAATGAAATATTTTTTTTTTAATTTTATAATTCAATGTCATATTAGTCGGTTGTTCATTATAAGAACAAACTCCTGTCTTTATAATTAAATTTAGTTCGATATGTTTAAAAAGTAAATATTTTACTATATATTGTTTAAAATAATATTTAAATCGTTTATCGCTAATAAATTTAGGGTGCCATGTAAAATAAAATATTTTTAATGTTGGATGAAAATAAAACGTTTTATATATTGTGATGACATTTAAATATGTTTCGTAAAATGACTATTATCTTGATATTATAAGAAACATGGTTTGCGATTAAATTGTACACTTTAATAATATTATATATTGTACAAAACATAATGTATTAATTTTTATCACTCTATGTTCATAATTCATAGATTATAGACATAGTATGCTATACTTATATAATATAATCATTTGTATGTTAGATATTGATTTCCTTGATAAATTTATAAAAAATGTAATTTAATTTTAATAAATAAATAATTTAATTTATTTATATAATGTACCTATACCTACTTATTAACATTTTAAAGGCTTAATTCGTCATTTATAACTGTTTCAGAAATATATCATAATATTTATACTGAAAGGCAGTGAAAGTATAGTATGTTGACTCTTCGTCAGTAAAAACTCAAATATAGGAAAATACAATTATATAATGCAATATTCAAAAATGTCTATAAGTTTAAAAAATATAATTAATTACTTTAAATTATTAACACACATTAACTAGGATAATATATTGTTTTGGTTTGGAAAATAGTAATTAGAAAAATCTAGTTGGTATTGGTATAAGTATTTAGTATATAGGTACGCTCATGTTTATGTGATCGTAAACTTTTTAACGCATGTATATGTATTATAAATAGGTACAATATCAAACATCTAATACATTAAAATAAATTTCTAGTTGATAGGTGTAATTCTACAGTATGTATCTATTTATTAGTAGGTAAGTTAAACATCGATTGTACTTTGAAGTTTTCTACGTATGCATATTATTATAGACCATAGGTGTATTCATAGAAATTTAGTAAGCTTCTTTTATTTGGCAGTAATAAGTAAGTATATGGATTAAGTATACATAGGTAAATAGGGGAATGACGGTAAACTAAGAAGCACGGAAGACTACAGAAGATTAACAAGACCAACTCCACTTAATGTAGAATACAGATAAAAAGCCGAGGAAATGAATATTACATGAGATCACTTAAAAACGTTTTTATTTCTAAATGATAGTCTGCAGTATTATTGTAATCCAGAAAATCTCAAATAGGTAGATACCATCAAATCGTGCGGTAATAATAAGAGCTTATCGTCGTACAGTTTCAATTTAAGAAAAAAATTTAGGGATAATATTTTCATAGGTTTTTGTAGGTAGGTACTTTAGTCTCACAGAGCAGTTTTTATAACAATTTGTCAGACGTCAGCTATAAAAAAAAAATAATAATAATGTGTGTAGTTCATTTCAGCGTTTCTCAACCTTTGTGTATTATATTATACTTATGTACAAGCTGTTACGTGTACATTTTACAGTTTTCTTATATATTTCCAGCGAATTTTTAACAAAATGTGTTTAAGCTGAGTATAATTATTACTTGAATTCTAATACTTGTTTACATTTTTCAATGATAAATCATTTATAATTATGCTGGTTGCTCTAAGCTTGAGAAACGCTGATTAATTCAAAATGTTTTCCAATGATGATGAATTTTTTTTCCGTAACATTTGTTTTCGACGCAACTCATAAACGAACGTAGCGCATACATTTTAAAATTTTAAATACACAAGTAATCACGAGGAAACATGGTTTATAAAAGAAATTAGAGCGTTTACCTGAGTATAACTGATAAACTCCCGTAGTAATAATGACCATGAGAGCTAACAACTTGGCATAGGTGAAAATGTCTTGTACGCGTGTTGCCCACTTAACATCCCAGCAGTTGATAAACGTCAATAACACTAAAAAAAAAAAAAAAAATTGAAAAAATAAGAATTATTTAGACACGGGTAAGTATTTTTGACAGGTGTCATTGTATCGCATTGTTGGATCAAATATATTTTTATTTTTTTAACCATGGAAATTGTGTTTCAATAATTACATAGCTTAACCTATCTAATGGTAGTATTATTGGATACGTCGTGTAGATGATTATTTATACTATAATATAGGTAAGCACATACTATACACTTTATATTTTCTTACTATAATATTATGTAGGTACTATGTATTAAATTTAATTTTTAAGTGATATAAACAAAATTATAGTGTTTTTGTATACACAATATTAATAGCACATATTAATTAAATGTTATTTTAATGTCAAACATTAATTAACCATTAATTCACTGGACATTAAAATCTTAAAATCTGCTAGATATACATGTTGCGATGTTGGTATGTAATAGGAGACAATAATACAACAATGCATATTACAGCAGGACATTTTATGATTTATAAGTGACTACTTTAAAACGTTAGAAGTTGTGTTTATGTTCAATTAAATTAAATTATGATTAATCTTATGTCATCATAATATTACACTATATGCAACTTGTAAGTCACCTACCTGTTTACGACATTGTAACAAATCTAAATTTTCCTAAAAAATAATTTCAACTAACACAAAATTATAAAATCAATTATTTTTTTTAATTACCGTAATAAACTTTAAGTAACATTTTTTGCGATCTCGTTTTATTTCCTGTTTCTATTAAGATTTTTCAACAGCTACAAAAATAAATGGTACACGTTTATACAAAACAAATAACGGTCTTATTGATTTCAGAGGAAATTTTATTTTGTTTTCGAGAAAAATACTCTACACATTAGGTACTCTGTTTAATTGAAATAACGAAATACGACTTACTTTTAAAAACTTCTTTAATTTCAAATGTTTTCCTTATATTCTTAGTGTTTTGTCCTTTCATAATAAACAGGTAATATTATGGTACTCAGATTATATTATCATGAAAAAAACCCAGCTTATCATAAATATTACAAAAAAAAATAAAATAAAAATATTTTTGTTGGTACCTACCTAATAATTAGTTGAAACTAAACTAAAATCAAAATCCTACATTTAAAATTGGACGAGATTATAGTACATTATGAAATTATTATTACTTTATTTATTTATTTATTTTTTTTTTTTTTGATTATATCTAAAAAATATAACAACAGTTTCATTTTCATAAGCTTCATTATTTTTTACAATTATTATGATGAATTTTTTATTTGCTTATATTATTTCTTATAGTGACAATTTTACTTTTTTTTAAGAATGTAAAAATGTGCGAGTCCCAGAGTACATTTTCCAGTTTCTCCGTTACTATTGTGACATTCTGTCAATATGTCTTTGATAATAAGGGTAACTTTACAGGTTTTATATATTAGTAGATCTTCTCATATCATTATTTATGTATTATGTATGTTAACATTTTCCAAACAGAAGAGTGCTCCAAAACGTTCATACATAGCGCTGTTTTTAGTATCCTTTATTCATTGTATACCATCATACACATCATATTATGTATAATATTATTATGGAAGTAAACAAAACTTCAGATATATTTAAAAATTACACAACATAATCAATATTGTAATATGTGACTAGGTACATTAAATACATTTTAATTTAACGAATTTAAATTAAATCGATTATTTTATTGATAATTTAAAAATGATAATCTAAAAGTATCAAAATATTTTTATTGATTTTGGACATTATTTAATATTTTTCGGAAATTAAAAATGGACAATTCTTATCTAAAAATTGTTATAGATAGTATCTTTAATAACAAATTGTAATTTAAAAATACAATTATTAATATATTATATATATCTAATAATTCTAATAGTTATAATATCTTTAGTTATTTATTTTTAATCTTTATAAGTCTATAATTTAATTTAATTTAATTAAACCTAAATAAAAATTATCGTATAATCATAGAAATTTTATTAAGATCTAAGTAAAATTGATTAGGAAATTGGATATTTAATTTTACAGTAATTGATTATGCGAATAAAATATTTAATTTTAATAAAATAAAAAATTTAGACTTTAAATAATCTTTTACTTTAAAAAATTATTAATTATTATGTATACCACTAAGGTAGTTTTAATCATTCCAGCTTGAGTTGTGCGTGAATAGTCATCACTGCAGAAAAAGATTCCTCCACGTGTGAACTCCGAAATAGATACGTACAATTTAAATCTATTTCACGTTCAGAAATATAATGTAATTTCGATCTCTCCATAAAATAATTTTTTTATTGTTATTGTAACGTAAAAATTTTTATTTGCACTATTGTTGTATATATATATCATATACATTGTATTGCTTAAGTTATATTTTCTTTAACACGAATTATTCACGAATATTACAGTTAACAAGGTGTTTCCTTTAAGACTATTTAAAGGATCATAAAAATGAATTTGTAAGGAATGTATATGATTATTACTTGGCCTATATATTCTGTTGTTATTAAATATATATATTTTGTTTAATGATTTTTTTAAAATTTATTATGTGACTTTACTATATAATATATATGCATACTTATTCAATTAATACATCTAACATATATTATAAACATCATATTGCTTGTCTTGTGTCTCGTAAATCGTAATAATATACCTATATATTATGTTTAATGCATCATATTCAACTTACTCATAACTATAAATAGCTATGTTATTATATTTAATAAATTAAAATCAATAATATTTGATGCGAAAACCTTTCTAAATTCAATTTTAAATTCAGCGATGTTAATAAGATGTTGTAGTGATTGTGTAACGTTAGATTCGCGCATAACATCATCTGGTGGGAGGATGTGGGCGAAAGTTTCATTGATTTTCCCCGAGCCCTAGTGGAATGGTAGCTACCACGTGGATTTTCCCATTGGAGAAAATTGTGCACGCGGTTTTTACATACTTGGACCGCAATGGAATATTCTTTAATAAATTATGTACGATTCAGGTTTAAGGATAATTTAAAAAAATTAACTTTCGCAATTCCAAAAAAAGAAACATCACCTACAGTTTTACAAGTTTATTAATTGGTGTGTTTTACCATCAGTAAATATGTAAAATATTGTATATTATTATTGTTATTATTGTGAAGCCTTTTAATACTATTTAGATTCCAATGTTTTCAAGTTTATAATAAGAGAAAAATATGACAGTATAAAATTGTCTTATCAATTTCAACAAATTCTAATAATGTTTCATGTGTAAAACCTTAAAATGTAAACTTTTTTATTTAATATTCACAGATCAGTTTCTTAATACTATAATTAATCATTGTATTATTCGTATAATAAAGTTGGCTAATTAATCATTTTCTTTGGATTATAATGTTATATAAGTATAAGCAATTAATAATAAATATATGAAAGTAGTTTTTTTTTATCATGTACTCGTATATTTTAATTGAAGTTTGAGTAAATTTTAATCTAGATCCTTTATTAAAATGTAATATGAGTACTTCTTAAGTTTAAGTCATTATTTAAACTTTGATTCCTATTTCTGTTTATATTATAAAATATTTGACTAGTGAAAATCTCTGTATAGAGCTATTGAATACATTGTTTAAAAGTTTACTGGCCCGTTTCTTGTTCTCTAGATTCATTTTATTCTGTAGTTTATAAAAAACTGACAAAATCAACCAACAACACAATAAAATAAAATTAATTTACGTACAAATTCGTCATAGTAAAATTTACTTCCGATAAACATCGTACGTAAATCAAATTTTACCTATTATTAGCACTAAGTAATTATTACATTATTATGTGTCTGAATAGAATTAATGAATATATAGTTGAAATAGAAAACCTTTGCGCTCTATACACTAACAACAAAGATACTATTAGTATAACCAAAACGTTAGCCCTTTAATATGAGGTTTTATTTGCATTCAATGCACAAGGTTTGTGATACTATTTCGTAAATTATGAATAATATTATGTAAATTATTAAAACATGAATGTTTGATTACTCATGTCTAATAAAAATAAAACCAATCTAGTATTAAATAGCAGTGCAATAAACGAGTATACAACCTAAGAAATTAAGGGTCACAGTATTATGTGATCACTAAATAGGTGAAACTATATTTGCATAATTTACCGACAATAAAATTTGATCGAAATTTCATAAAAGTAAATACAATAAAAATAATAATTTGCGTCAGATTTTGTTCTTATTGATAACTCTACTTAAATAAAAATGTATAGATAAATTATTTTAATATATTTCGTTTTCAGTTTCCATTAATTCTGTATCGATATTTTACACTCTTGATTTTTTATTTTAAAATAATTAAATTTATGAAATTTATTTTCGAAAATGTCCGAGATTTCACGTCATAAAATGAATAGTTATTACTTATTACCAACGTAATAATATAAGCTAAATTTAAACAAATTTCAATAATTATATTCTAATAAGTAATAAGTATATAATAAGTAGTAACGAGTTTACACATTTTGGATTCCGTGATTACTGGAAGCGATTTCATAATATAGATCAACCTATAAAATATTTAGATTCCATCCAGCAACTGAAAATTTCTAACGTGACTATACAGTTATTTATTATCTGCAGTTATAGTAAGTTGTTTTTCAATGACGTTTAAAGTTTAAAAAAAAATCTGTTTTTATTTTTTTGTTATGGTCACTAGATTTCGAATACGGTCAGTGTTAATTCTATCACAATATTTAACTATATCCATTAAACTACGAAAAAAAAAACGTGAAAGTAAAACATATATAGTTATAAAATCTTTTTATTTTTCGTGATTTAAAAACAGTTAAAAATGTACATCCGGCAGAAGAAATTAGAGTCCAGTTTTGAAAACAGCATAATAAAAATACAATGTACAATGCACACAATAGGCTCGGTAACAACAAATGTTTACATTTTTTTATTATAATATATACCAATTATTAGTTATTACAATCTAATATTCTAATGTGAATTGTTATTACATTTTTACGGATTTAAAGGTTGATAAATATTAATGTGTGCATCACAGATCCTATCTCATATACATTATCTCTTTTAATTTTTAACCTTGACGCCTTATATTTTCCATCATCGTCAATAGTTTTTATATTTTCCATGTTATTATAATATAATGACAGGCAATAATCGAACTAATTCAGCGAATAGATATGTTAGAAATAAGAGGGCAAATTATAAAATTTAAAATCCATGATAAATAATCGTATTAAATAAGAACCTATTACAATTCACTAATAAAATAAAACTATACAACATATTCAACACAGATAAAAAAGAAACTACATATTATTATCTTTTTATGCCCGTCACATGTTTTGTATTTTCCGTACTAATACGAGTATACTACATAAATTGCACAAAAAAAAAAACAATTATCAGGATAACGAGTAAAGCCAATAAAGATCCATAAACTCTAATGAATACATTTTTACCTATCATTATATGTTTTTATAATATTGTATTAATTTTGGTATATTCCTTATTATAAAAAAAAAAAATAAATAAATATTAAAAAATTAGACGGAATAAAAAAAAATATAAATTTATTCTCAAAATTATTGAAAATGGTTGGGATATGGACTACAACAACAATAATTCTCAATTTTATTTATAAAAAATATAACATGGTTTGAACTCTAAGATTGCAACTAACATCCGTAAAATTTAAGGTAAAAAATTCATAACTTGATTCACGAAAAAAAGATGAGAAAACAAAAAATATTAACTTTATTATTAACTTTTATTTTTTTCTACATAAGAGCCCAACTTTAATTTTTTTTTCTCAGTTTCATTCATGTATAATACACTGACCAATATTCTCTGGTTAAATCGCTAACACATTTTACAATTTTACACAACTCAATAAATGCCCTCCATGTATAACCTAAGCAATCGCAATTATAGTCGACCGATATTTATTGTTTAGTTCAAACAACTGGGAGAGTCGTAATCGTTTTTCCTAATTTTTACTGACCGTAAAATATTTATTATTAAATATCTTTATTATTTAACGGCAATATACAATAGTTGATACTCTATAATTATAATATAATAGTCCGTATACGTTTATCATTCAACCGTCATATTTACCTATACAACAAGCGGCTAACAGTCTTGTGGACTCTTCGGGTGGATCGCAGTCAGTGTACATGGGTTTTAGAACGTAAAGGCTAAACGTGAGGGCGACGATGGCTTGCGAACACGGTCGGACGATCATGCACTCCACCCACAGTCGCATGAAAGCTATAAACGGCCCAAACGTCTCCATGATATACGCGTAGTCTGCTCCGGACTTTGATATCATACATCCCAGTTCCGCGTAACAGTAAGCACCGACCTAAATAAAGAATAAGATAACGGATAAATGTCAACCGCAGCGACGTCCTGAAATAATAAGGCGTGTGGCATGTTTAATTACGTGTTATTATGCTTAGTCGCATAACCAACCGCTATGTATATGTGTTATTACCTAAACGTTTAATAATTCTATTTGCAATAGCGATCTAAAGGGCCCTTAAACTAGATTTACTAACCTGTAATTGGGCCATTAATTTTTAGTGAACAGTTAAATCAATTAATTTTTTACGCGACTCATCGACGTAAGACTGATAAGAGCACTATACATAATACCCTTAAGTACTATCTCTATTGTCCGTGCTGTACTGCAGTCTATCTCTAACAGGTGATATTGTGAAATAATTCCTATAAGCGAAATATAAATTGTGTAGGCGTCTACGGTCAGAGTCCAAACACATGTTGATTTTGAAAGAAGAATGTTTCTGAGATAATGTCGATCGCCAATTGATTAATATGTTTTCATTTAAAGACTTATACTGTATTATTGTTACTTCTTTGTTAAATTACAATACCTATTTTTTTTTTAAAGAGATGGCATTATCTATCGAAAATATCTACGACCCAAGTTTGGTAACAGATGGTAAAACTCTGATATCGACCTCAAAAGTTACAATTTTGCACTTGCGTAGTGACTTTTGCCATATTTCTCGTTAGATATTGAAGGATACTGCAGTGTATATGGGTGTTTAACGTCCTCTTAAAACATCTTTCTAAACCGATTGAGAATTGGACACACACGACTTACGCACGGGTACCTAATGGCAAAGGAAGAACCACCCTTGTGTGAAGTCTGTGGTGTCCAATTAACTGTGAAACACATCATAACCGAATGCCTAAAATTCCAACGCGATCGTCAAATCATCGGATTAGATTCATCACTGGACACCGCACTGGGACCCAACACTGAAGAAAACTCTAAGTTAATAAAATTCCTGAAATCGACAGGCCTTTACAATTTAATATAATAATATTTAACCCGACTGTACACTATGTAACCTCACCTATTATGTAATTTCAATATCAATACTTAATTTATATATAAGAATACCTAAAAACTGTAAATAACTATTGTATATTGCATATTTGTAGCTAATGACCATAGTTGTCGGGCTTTTTATTGGATCAATAAAAAAAAAAAAAACATCTTTACGTAAAGTATACACTTTTAAAATGATTAACGACGATGGCTTCTTGTCGTAGCTGCAGATTTACATATACATAATTTGGGCAAGTGTAAATTATAGTACATACTTGCATGTAAAAAAAACTTATTCCTACTCTTGGATACTTGTATCTTCGAATAATTATATTTTTACTCTGAATAATTAAGATATAGATGATGATGATATAATATTATTAATGAAGTCAGATATTTGACCGATGTATTAGGAATTTATAAAGATATATTACAGTATTTTATTAATATTACATTTTCGGCATGAATACGAATGTATAACCATATAACGACTAAACCATAGGATTGAATTAATAATGGTCCTGTTGTAACGTCAAAATATTATTGCAACGTATTAATCTATATTAATTTAATGTACCAAACACAACTAGGAGAACGTTATTGTTGGATTATTTTTATTTTTAAATGTATAATAACTATACTTATCTCGTACAGCTATATCTACGATTAATATAATTTTCATTTGTCAAACTTGAGATTATATTATTTCAAACATACAAATACCGCTGGGTACAAAACACAACTAACTTAAACAATAAACCTAATTTTATTATAATAATATATTCAGGGTGAAACGCAGCGAAAATTTTAAGGAGAGTAGCGGGTTTGTTAAAATGTCAATTTCTTTATTATACTATTGTGATAATTTATAGCTTATTTAATTTTAGATTCTGAACAGAACAATGAATGTATTAATCTTACGATAATGTATGTTTTTTTTAGATTTTTTTTAATAGAGATAATTTTAAGTCCAAAATAATAATAATAATAATATGCAAGTAAATACCATCGAAAATACGCCAGACAAGACCCAGACGATCAACGAAGCATTCACCGACCCGGTGTTTTCCAACACGCCCGTTGGCGATATGAATATTCCAGACCCGATGATACTACCCACGATGACCGTGACACCGTTCAAAAGGCTCATTTTGGGTTTCAGTTCGATCCCATCGTCTTCGGTTGGAGCCACGTCCGCCGCTACTGCCGCTCCGTCTTCCTTCCGCTTCACACCCATTTTCTCTCTTAATTATTTTTATCTAATTGCAGTTGTTGCGGTCGGCGACTGCGAATGGCTGTATATACCTACGATTTGGAATCTAAAAACATTTAAATAAAAAAATTGAGCGTATTTGAACAAAATTCTGAACAGATGATTAAATGTCGTAAAGTATACATAGTGTACCTGATAATAGAAGTTATAAATTACAATTAATATGTTACATATCCTAATAATATTTGTGATTAACAGTTTGCTGCTGTATATCGCGGTCATTATTATATAGTTTAATACAAGTTTTTTTTACACAAAGTGGTGGTATTGCACTTTAGCAAAAATCTTTTTTTTCTCTTTTACATTAATGTTGTAAGATTAAAGTTAAAAATTTACTCGGACCTTAACAAACTCCTTTAATGCCATCACTCGATTTTTGTTTGAAAAATTTATCAATATTTAAATTAAAATGTCAACCTTTATTAAAATTTAATTGATTCAATATTTGCTTATGACACGCGCAGTCTTGTAAATGACCTATCATACCAACATTACATAAATAAAGTAAGCTAAATTTTCAAAAAAAAAAAAAAAAATACAATTACTTAATTTTTAATTAACTTCTTACAAGTATCGAACAAATATTCAATTCAATTTTTTCTTCAAAACTCTTTTATATCTACTAATTTAAGCTTATATAATACAAAACAATCGGAGATTTAAGATAAATAACACATTAATTAAATGCCATGCATTAAGTACCTAATATAATATTCGTTTGTTGCAATTATAATTATTGTTGTAGTAGAAAAGATAATAGGGTTTTCATAAGAAATATTAATGACAATTACTTACTAATCAATAATAATTCATAAATTATAATCAAATTTACTAATCATCCATTTTTAGTTTTTATTTCCTCTTAAGTGCTCAATTCTAGATTAATCTTAATTTTTTATATTTAAATCACCAAACACTACTTTTTATTTGTTAACGATTAAATCATATCGAAAACACTTAAGAAAAACATACATAAAATATAGATTAACTTTATATAAAATTAAAAAAAAAATGAACTGCCTACTAACAAATTTAAATATAATAATATACTTGTAACTTTCATTTATAAAATGCGAGTTTATATATATACTGTATTAATTTAAAGTGAAGATAACATATACTTCGTTAAAAAAACTTGTTATAGAACAAATATATTTTGTCACCTTCGTTTTTATACGCTTTAATTTTACATTTGTATTTCAATATATAAATTATTCACTTTGAAATATTTATTATTTTAAGTAAAAAATAATAATAATACTTTTATTATTAGATGCATAGATTTTTTTTTAATTGTACCTATTCAATATTATAGATATGTATAACTATTGTAGTAATTTTTAAAATAAAAAAAAATGAAGTTTCTATTATTCAGTAATAAAATATTAAATTGTCTATGCCATCAACATTTAGGTATTTATTTATATTTGAATATCTAAAACTAAAAAGACAATTTTAAATTTTTGGTTATCCATCCTGCGATAATATTAATCACGATTCGGATTATGAGTATATATCCAATCACATACGAGTATAGGTATAGTATAGTTGGTGATCAAATCCTCTTCTAATGAAACATTTTAGAAAAACAATTTTTCTGATATGACAACTTTTTGTCAAATATTTTGACATAATTGACGCCTCTTCTCTCAAATAAAAAAAAAATTATATATACGTGCTAGAGTCGTATTAGTGGATTAGGTATGCTGGAGTACAACAATGGCATGGATGATGGATAGATCGTTTATTATATTAATTTCCATACAAAAAATTATAGTAAATCTGTACTGCACTCACCAAACGTGCAAGTAATGATCACTAAATTTATATAGTTTATATAGATTAGCAAGTAGTAGTAGTACGACAATATAGGTATACAGAGGTATATTTAACGTATATATACATTCAGCAGACTAGTAAAGTTGTTCAGTGGCGTGCTCATAAGACTGCATATCCTGTATAATAATACATTTTAATATCTTCGTCGATCGACGGCACATGCAGATCAAATACAATTGTATTAAATCGCGTATAATTTATTGGCCAAGTCTTAAAAACTATTGTACTAAAATAGTATGGGTAAACCATACATAACATTACATACCTATACATATTTATAGTAATAATAATAATAATAATAATAATAATGCTATGTGTGTTGTAATTACTTACTATGTCATCGTGAGTTAAGAAAATAAATAAATAAAAAATAACGACGTGCAAAAATTTTTAAGGCGTCGTCTCGTCTACTGCTCAACGATTCGGTTACTGAGCAACGCTACTCCCGATCTCCGGCATCTATCCTGTGACGCCCGACTGCGTCGCGGTTTATGCATATGTGTGTGTATGTGTGTGTGTGTGTGTGTGTGTGTGTGCGCAGGCGCGCGCATGCCCGAGCGTTTTTCTCGTCATGTGTATGTGTGCGTATCAGGATATTACCAATTCGCAGGCGCAATCCCTTCGAATATAATGGCGCGAGACCGGCCGCGACGATGAGGAGCGTTATTTAATTTCACAATGAACAGCCGCATGAAGAGAAGATGAGTGGACAGACACACACGTTCTACGGTATATAACATAAAATAAATAATACTTTTGTTGTTGACAAACACACCCTATCTAGTGGGAATTTCTTTTTAGCGGGGGTAGGGGAGGTTGAATCAATAACAAAAATAATAACTCTTATAATATTTTTGCTAATAAATATAAAGTGGATTTCTAACTGAACGAAGAAACATGACACTAGTTTTTAAACGTAATTTAACATCTTATTAAAAATTTTCGGGGGTAAAGGTTTAAACCTGAGATTTACCCCTTCCCCAAATATGACCATAAATTATACACACACACACACAGATACACATGATGCAGACTACAACTATAAACTCGACTGTAGGCCATCACAAAGGCGTTTATAATACATAGTGATGTGGGCACGTAAAATTGGCAACAAACCTGGAGGTCATAACAACTTTTTGTAAAAAGTACAATAATTACTCACTGTTTTATAGTAAGTATATACCTATTAATTAATTTGAAAGTTAATAAATAATAACCTTAATTCATATGACAATAATCTGAAGTACGAATATTTTAGCATAGTTTTTTTTTCAATAAACTTTATGATGACTTACACATTTTCAATGGAAATTGCGGACAGTGAATGACATTAAATCGTCATCGGGTTATAGGTATAATCATAAATTACCATATACGATTTTTAATTAATAACAATAATAGGTAGTGACAGCATAATCGCGTTACTATGTTTAACAAATTATCCTTTTTGTAAAATTTTCTATTATTTACTATTAGATATATATTTGTAAGAAGAATAAATATTTTTAAACAAGTAGTTTTTATAGGTACATTTAATTTTAATCTATTTCATGGATTTCTACATAGGTATCTAGATAGTTCTCTAATAGTAATTGAGAAATATTTCATTTATAATCTATTGGTATAATAATGTTCAATAGTTGTCTATTATAAATAACCTACCTACCTACATTTCATTTAAATATTATATTTAAATAAAAAAGTATTGGTAAATTTTGTATACATAACATTATGCACAATGTGTATAATATATTGTTACGTAGTCAGGGATGACCATTTAAATATAAAATATCTAATAATTATTAAGGGAGTTACTCTAGGGAGAGTCATGAGTCCTTAAAAATCTTAAAAATATAACTACCGTAGCCAGGAGTAAATAAATATAATAGGATCTTAAATATATTTAACTAGCCAGAACTCAATTTCAGTTATTATTAGGTTTTATTGCCTATACAGATATATTAAATGGTAAATACTTACAAAGTATGTTAATTAAATTTTACAATAGTAAATGGATGTATCACACTATCATGGTCGCACGAAGTTCGTTAATGTCTATAAAATCTACAATAAACTAACTGTTCTTATATATGGTGCACATTGTGGCTATAATAGATCTTACGGTCGAATCGCAAAACTATTACTACAATATAGCTATAATAAGCGAAACTAAAATGAGCAAATAGTAACTACATAAACATTGAAAATGTAGTTAATAGAAATAACAAAAATATACGCAATTATATATTTCAAAAAGTTCATAATGTATTTGTAAATTTACCATATTATTTTCTATTTTTTTTTTGCCATGTTTTTATACATTTTTCTCATTATTAAAATGTTCTATTAGTAATTGTTCGTATTTTAGCGCTCGAATATTTTGTTCATTCTTTAAGCCAGATAAATACATTTCTATATTGTTGGAATGTTAAATGGTGTACATCTACAATATAGAAATAAAATTAGATATAAAAAAATAATAATAATAAATTTGTTATACAATAATAATGTACTGAACTTTTCTCTGCAATCCTATTTCTGCCAAACCATCATGATAATTATTCTAAAATCCCAAGGAAAATGTTGGTGTCCTACGGGCCGTTATTGTCTATGGCCAATAAGTCACTCAGTTCAATTTTTATCAAAAAAAATTTTTAATTTAATTATTCTTCAAATTTTAACTCTACGTACGATTTTGAAACATAAGATAAGGCTGGTTACATTCTAATTCTAATGAATAAAACAAATTTGGATCCAATATTTATTTTTCGACTAGGCCAGGTATTATTTGAATTTTTCTTCATTAAAATTGAGTAAATTAGAAAAATAAATCAATATTGTTTAAAATTTGGAGCTATATTTTTAAATGCGATTAAATCGCGATTAATTAATTTTATTTTTGAAATCAAAAATGTATAAATATCGTATGTTTTATTCAGTAGCTAGTAGGAACTATTATATTGTTATTTATTAACACGTCATGTGCTGTATAAATTTGAAAAATACAACTGCGGAACTTTTAAAAGTTCAATCTGCGAACCAACGTTTAGGTTTTCCCATCGGTTTCGTGTTTTCTTTAGTAGAATATATTAATAAACAATTTTAATCGTTTGTAAATATATTATTATATCAGTCGTCAGTAGTTAATCGTATACATAGACACTAACTTTTTAGATTTTAGCACAGAGATAAAAAAAATAAAAATAAATTCTGTTTATGGATATTATTCCAATATTCCAATTACCTTTTATGACAATTTATTAGAACTGAAAAATAATTCAATAAGTTCTGTGTAATACTGCCTCTTATATAATATTTTTTAAATCTTCTTTGTATGGAAAAGGATCTTTTAGTAAGTATATGTGGACATATGATGACTGATAGTTGATACTGAATATCAATTGCACGCATTTCCTAAGCTTAGTTAGACAAATCACCAAATTTGATTTATTTTTAAAAATGTTTAATATATTTACAAAATGATAAAACAATTAAGTTATTGGTCTTTAATTATGTCATGAAACATATCTCTGTGAAATGTAAATTTATCTATATTTAAATCATCTTTGTAAAATGCATAATATGTATTATATTATTTGTGATGATATTTTGCGATCAACTAAAAATATTCCTATAAACCAAAAAGTATATGATCAATGATTTCTTTAAATTTTTTATTATATTTACTTTTAGGCGAAAATTCAAAGAACTTGGTTGTATTTTTTTCATACTTAAAAGGATTTATCATTTTCTAAATTCTTTTAGTGCGTCTAATTTTAAATATGACCATTCTTTCTTTGCATATTGCCATAAAATGTTGAATGTATCTCTCAAATTTAAAATAGTATCCTTTAGGTATAGTATTCAAAATTTAAACGAAGAGTTTAAAATATAATGATTTACTTTGCATTTCTATATTTGTATTATTTATAGTAACTGCATGTATATTGTATACTAATCGCTGGTTTAAGCATTATATAGGTAGGTAATGTATCTGCAGATTTCAATCCATTTATCGAAGAACCTGCATTGTTATATTTAGTTTTTGAAAAATCTGACAAAAATGATATTAGTTTATTTAGTTGTCCATAACAGAAAAATGCAGAGAACAGAGAACTATACCGTAACATCCTTCTAGTAAGGCAAAATGTCCATAGGAAAGTCATATTTTTTCTTTTTAATTCGTTTTAAACCAAGATAGCCTTTTACGTGATTATTTAATGTATGTAATTAAAAAACAATGTAATTATTTATATGATTATTACATGTAACAAAAAAATAACAATGATTAAGCGCCCTTTTGTATTGAAAATTCCAATTTTTATTACAATTATATTTATATGTATTTGGATAATTGAATGTAAAAATCTATCATTTTATATGAAGGCCCTCATTTTAACATAGCCCGGATACCCTTGCCAAAAAAAAAAATTCTGTCCTTAAAGAGACTTTTGATTAGCCAACAATCAACATCCAACTAACTACCAAATTTTATATGATAGGATAGTCGCGACTGAGTACTCCAATATAAAAAAAAAAAACAAAAATTCTTTTTGATTTTGAAAAATCCATCGAATTTGATGTGTTACAAATTTATTCTTAAAATTATTGTTGTTTTACATATCAGTACGCCAATGTAGTTTCAAATGGTGTTGAATAAAAATAAAATGTGAAATAGGTTAAATACAAAATCCTGGATGAAATGTTTTACTAAGAAAAAAATAATTGTTAAGTTGGAGCAAACCCTAATATTTGTAAAATTTTGAACTGCAAACTTAATTTTACTGCTTTAAACAAAAATTTGATTCTCTCTGTCTTGGAAAAAAATGTATTACAAATATATATATATATATAATGATTCAATATAACAAAATACTTTTGACTGATAACAATGTTTGATAATTAATAGAAAGAAATTATAATTCAGTATAATTTAAATTTAAAAATTCAGGAAATACCTACTCATATTTTTTAATATTTTTTAGTAGTTGGCACATTATTTAATTTTTGTTTTATAGACCGTAGTGTACACTTGTTCATTTGTTGCGCACATTGTGTGCCATATTGTACATAAAAATAGGACCCAAGTTGGCGATCACAACAAAAACAGGATTGACAATAAACTATTGTTTTTAATGATATTCCAACATTTAATTGTAAATAGATAAGTACTTACTAATATAAATTATTAAAAATATATTTTAATAAATCAGACAAGTTGTTATAATGTAAAGTACACATGGAGTGTACACCATAATTGAATGAGTAACAGCTTTGTTAAATTTGAATTTAATGATAAATTATAGTTGGAATGAAAAACGTTTCTGAGCAGAAACTGTCAGCATCTGTTTCTAGGGATATTTAATTATACATTAATATAACTATTAGTAATTAATTTTTCTATTAATAATAAGGGTAAGTTGAATCAATTTTTGTCAATAACAAATCAATTTAAGTATAGTAAATATTTTCTATTACAATTATTTCATATCAATAGCTAGTGTGAAGTTAATTAGTCGATACTGTAGAATTTTACAAAAAGGTACATCATAAATAGCAAAAAATTAATCTAAATGAAATTAGAATGGCATTATTCTATGGTAAATACAGAAATATTTTAATTTCTTACAATTTACAAATAACATTTTTTATATTACCAAATAACTAAAATCATTACCTTTTATCTAAATAACCAATATCATTGAGTTAAACTTTAAATATCTACAAAATTTCATACATTAAGCATTTTATATATTTTAAAATTACCTTTTACATGTGATCTTGTAATCTTGTATTACATTTTGAAGCTTTAGGGCAAATATCAAAAATTGTATATATTTTTAAATGGTTTAAAATTAATTTTAAACAGAAAAAATTAAAACATAATAAATGAATAATAGCCAATCTCTGTATTCCAATAGAATGTACCTGTTTAGTTACATTATTTTTATTAAAATATAGCTTCAAAATCTAACAACACTAAAAAAAACATTACAATAGATATTTAAAAAAAATATTAATTAATTAACCAATGCAAAGCAGTTTTGCATACTGTTTTATTATATATAATGCAAACATAAATATTCAATTACAACTTTTATAAAGTAAATTGTTCTATTTTAGTAAAGTGTGAATAAATATCTTAAATGAAATTATAAAAAGAAAAAAAAATATGAAGTCAAATATGTTTTTGTGTTTGAAAATATTTTATTTAAAATTAGAAAAAATTACCCTTGATATTATTTTACATAAAAATAAAAATGATCAAAAAAGTAACATCATTTTATACTAGGATTACAGAGATTTGTTAAAATGATAAATGTTTATCAAAAAATTACAAATAAATTGAAAACATCTCATCAATTAAAGATCCCCGAGGTCAACACTTTCAACCGAGTTATTTTTATTTCCATTTTCATTTTTGACATTTGTTTCTACATTTATAGAATGGTTTGTATCATTTAAAGATTTATGTTTCCGATATTCTAATGTTCCCCATGATACTGGTTCTGCTTTTTTAAGTTTTATTTCAACTTTTGTAGGCAACATAAACACACAACTTGTTTTAACATCAATAATCTAAAAATTAAATTAATACAAATTAAATTTTTAATTTATTAACTGAAAAAAAAGGCAAATAAATACCCCATATAGTTCCATGGTTTTAGAAAACACTGAATTATCAGAAGGAAAGTATAATTCCACGGACAGTTTCACAGGCGACAATTTCACAAAAGAAATGTTTGGATCATATTTCTTGGCAAAAATTGACACTACAACCCAGGGTCCAGTCTGATGCCAGTCTAAGCGACAGTTAGTATGACCTTGAGTTTTCTGAAACACAAAATCATAAAACATTTTTTCTATAATAAGTAATAAAAAACCAATAATTACATGGAATTACCGTTTCCTTAATCCAACAATGTTCTCCTTGAGAACATCCAACTTGTTCTAAAAATGCATTGAAGTCTGATGTCTTTTTATTACAACACGACCAATATTTCATACCTTCGTGAAATATAGGTACACCGGGATGGTGGTTACATGAAAGGTTACCTTTCCCAGAACCTTCATAGGCCTATAATATATTAATATTGTTATAAAAAACAATGTTTTTAATTTCTTTTAAATAAAACATAAATTGATAAGACCTGTTTACATCCATTGTTTTTACACATAGTACCAATTGCAATGTCAGTTAAGCTGTTTTTCTCATTTCCATTGGTATTACTAATTGTAGTAGAAGCCATTTGTTCTACGAGAGTAGAAGATACGGTAGGTTTAATATTTTCCAACGGCAAATTAGCTGATGGTCTTGGTAATGAAACTGGTTTTGGAGCATGATATTCAATAATATCATCTTTAATATCCTTATCTGGAACAAACTTCTCAGGCTCTTTTGGCTTTTTACCATTATGGTAACCTTTTGTACAACCCTTAAAAATAAATGAATAAATATTTTAACACAATATTAACCTGATAAAGAATGACTATTGTGTCAATTAAAAAAATTACCTTAATGTTAAGAAATTCAGTAAAATCGGTACATTTCTTTTTACAGCACGACCATCCTTTGTAGGCGTCATGAAAAAAAGGGGCACCTGGATGATATACGCAAGAATCTAATAACATAATCAAAATAAAAATCATTATAAAGTTATCAAATAGTCAGTTACATTGAATTAGATATCACATGATAAACTTTTGACATAGATTTATTACTTTTAATTACAATTTATAATAAGTATCACTGCAACTATAAAAGAGATAAAGATTTGCATTAAACATTGTACATAACAGTATTAAAAGGACCACCTAACATGTAGATACTAGATAATATAGTTAATACTTCATCCTTAAATCCAATATAATGTACTAGCAAATTCGATTGAATGGATTCCGGTTGTGCCAACCGATTAATTAAGATTTAATGTTTCAAACCGATTTTTGAATATTATTTGAGCAAATACATTGTATATGCATTGAATTAATTTAAATACCTGCTAATTTTTATGTAAAAATGTAAGTTGACATAAAATAGATAATACCTACCTTCAAGATTATTGTCTTGATTAAACTTCACAGCACATCCACGATTATAGCACAAAATCAAATCTGTTTTATCACACATTATTTTTCTTTTATTGGTTAACTTTTAATACTTAAATAAAGAAGGTGAAATAATATATCTTGTTTACTCAGTTTTCTAAGGCAACGAGGAAAATACACAACGTGCCAAAAAAAAAATTGAACCGACTAGATGTATGCCAAGAGGAACATTAAGATAAAACCAAAAAAGACAGTGTTGCCAAAATGTATTTCTTAAACTCAAAAATACAGTTTCTTTTATTTTATTAAATGAAAATAAAAATATTTTTTTTAAAAAAATGTAAAACAATATTATTCTAAACTTTAAGATATTTATGACAAATTAGAAAAAAATAAAACTTAATAATTCTATTTACTGATTACAGAACTAAGAGTTTCATAACAATATAATATCAAAATGCATATAACTAACTAAATTTGATTTAAAAAAAACATACCTATTGTTTAACTTAAAGATAGATAACTTATACATTATGATTTATTACTATATATCTACATGCATGTAAAATATCATATTAATCTAAACCAATTTAATTTTATAGGTCTTTTGAATTATTTTTTAGATACCTGGAAGTATTTTAAAATGTATTTATATCATTAGTTAAGTAGATATCTGTTTAAAATTTTTTGAAAATATTATGTTAATATATTTACTTTTGTCCAAATGAATTTAATTGTAAGTTATCTATTGTAGGCATGTACTTTTCATTGCAAATTTCTTGTGCAGGACTAAAATACATAAAAGCGTAATTAATATTGTAATATCTAACTAATTTTTTTTTTTGTTACTGATAAAAATTTTTTAAAAAAAGTACCAGTAACTTGGGCATAACTAGCGCGGATCCAGAATATATTTATAGGGAGGGGAGCATCTTGAATCAAATTTCAGCCTAAGTCTAATAAAAACAGTGTAAATACTATTTAAACTAATAGATATAGCCGATATAGGTGAATATTATTATTTAAATTCCGGTTTATCAGTAAAATAAAATAAAAGGTGGATAATTTTTAGGTTAAATTAATTTTACATGAAATATAAAATATTTTATAAAAATTAGAGTCTACGGGTAGGGATGGCCACTTGCTCCCCCTCCCCCCATTTGATCCGCGCTTGGACATAACTGTATAAGTAAGTATAAAAGCTTTGTAAGACAAAATTTAAATTTTACATTTTGTTAACAATTTACTATATGAAATAATTATAAAAAAATATTTGAACAAATATAAGCTATATCACCTTGCGTAAACTGAAGAACCTGGTGTAGAAACTCCTGATGCATTACTTCCCGTAGATAAAATTGATAATTCATTTCGAAATGACTGTTTCCTTTAAAAAAAAATATATATCTAATATATAAAAATCTCGTGTCACAAAGTTTGTTATCAAACTCCTCCGAAACGGCTGGACCGATTTTCATGAAATCTTTTGTATATATTAAGTAGGTCTCAGCGAGTGATGTAAACTGTTTTCATACCCCTAGGTGTAAAGGGTGGCCCACCACAAACGTGTCATAATGTTTGTTACCAAACTCCTCCGAAACGGCTGAACCGATTTTCATGAAATCTTTTGTGTATATTAGGTAGGTCTCAGAGAGTGATGTAAACTATTTTTCATACCCCTAGGTGTAAAGGGTGGCTCACCACAAATATTTATAACAACTGTTGGATATCGGCGATGGAAAAAAAAAAAAAAATATATAAAAATAATAAATATAATAAGATACAACAGTTGTTGTCAGGGAACTATATTCGATAAATACACGGTCGTTTAATATTATGAAAAAAAGATGGAAACGTAATTTACGTAAATAATTGTAAATATACAAATTATAGTTCCCTGGCAACAACTGTAATTAATTGATCAGAAACGACTCGACCGTTGAATGGATCGGTCTAACACAATAAGCTTTCTCTCTCATTTATAAGAAAGGTTAATAATCACATATATGAACTTTAATTGTATCGATTTGTGTATTTTGTACAATGTCAGCAAGACGCAAGGGGTCTGATTTGGCCCGTCGAACGACCAAAAGTACAATCATGCGAGATAGAAGAGCACAACCGACTAATGAAAATGTACGTGTGAACATGGTGCGATTGCGTGAGGCACAAACTGAACAAAATCAAAAAAGACGATTAAAAGCGCATCAATTCGTAGTTGACACACACAGAGCAAATGACAGACAACGCCAACAAGTACATAGAGCATTTACATCCAATTCATTCCTTCGTCTAGCATTCAAGTATGGACTCGATATTAAATATTACGCTTTTTCGAAAGTAAAGATTGATGCTATGGACAAGGAATGTCCGCATTGTAATTCGCTTAAGTTCAAAAATGAGCTAGCCGGTATGTGTTGCGCGTCAGGAAAAGTACAACTACCGGAAATTGAAACACCACCTGAACCATTGAACGGTTTACCGAAGTAACGGTTTACTTATCGGTACGGATCCAGATTCTAACCTGTTCCTGAAGTTAATTCGAACATTCAATTCATGTTTCCAAATGAAATTGCTCGGAGCAACAGAAATAGTTAAAAATAGTGCTGCAAATGGTCAATAATTTAATTTAACATTCAAAATCAAAGGCCAAGTTTATCATAGAGTGGGCTCATTGCTACCAATGCCAAACGAACCACATGCATTTTTACAAATTTACTTTATGGGCGGTGAGGATATTTGGTGTTTTGTTATTTTTATGGGCCGTCATCATTCACAATGCTCCATTCATCTCAGTCATATACCAGTATACGACATTCCCTCTCACTTACAATAATTTAATTATTTTTTATTTGAATACCAAAATATTCATTAGATATAATTTATATGGCAAAACAACGTTTGCCGGGTCAGCTTGTATATATATACATTTTGTAAAATAAATATTTAAATATATTATTATAAAAATAAAACATTTCATTTTCTTAATACTTACCTATGTCTCATATCAGGAATTTTTGTTTTCATTTTTGCAGGAGTATTATGAATTTTTGCTTCTTCATTAATCATATTAAATGGAGTTGAATTTAGTTGAAAAATTGGGGTTGAAATGGATCGAGTTTCTGTAATGCTATGTGGATTTTGTGGTGTATTCCGCAATGCACTAAAATTATATTAGTATTGATGCATTGATATAGTAAAATAATAAGCATAGAGTTAATCATATATATCTAGTACTAAACCTTAAGATTATACATACTTCTTAGCAATCTTTAGTTCACCTTCAAGTTTTTTAATATATAATTTTGCTCTATTATATTTCGATATCTACACATTATAAAGGAAAGAAAATGTTTTTATAGTTAAATTAACAAGTAAATTTATTTAAAAATATTTATATTTTACAATGTACTGATGATGACCAACTAATTTAATACGATGCGCTTTTTGGAATTTCATTACTTTGAGCAATTTTTCGTGAATTTCTTCTGGTTCTTGGAAATATTCTAAAACTTGCGAGTTTGTTTTAAATGACTAAAATATATTTATTTACATATTAAATTTGTTAATATCAGTGTGTTATGTAACTAAAAATAAACATTGAACATTATAATTTATACAAAGATACATATATAAAATACTGTAAATTGTTGCGTACTTGCGTAATCATTAATTTAATATTTTAATTACCTTTTCTCCTATCATAGTAGATGAACATTTATTCCTACAATATTTGCAGCAATCTAATGTTCCTGAAAATTAATTTGTTTAATAAACAAAAAAAAAACCTAACTTTCCTTCTCAATTAAATATATGTAGCTTAATAATTAAAAAATAATTAAATTTATTGCAATATTTTTTTTATTTTGTAAAGTGTTGAAAACATCGGTAATACCCACACAAATAAACAATTATTAAATAAATATTACTATTTAATAAAAATAGTGTTTATAATTTAAAACAAATAACATTTTTAGAAGACATAATAGATATTATTGTATAAATATTAAAATTATCATTATTCGTTATTATTATAATCACCTTTTGTACTTTAACTATGGTCCATGACTATTATATGAATTAAAAATTTAATGGGTGTCATTTACATTAATTTAACTATCAGAAAATCTAAAATTTCGGCGGGATATCCTATTAGTGTACATGGCAATAAAACATATTATAATATATTTTCATTTAAATATTATAAATCAATGCTTTTTGATATTTTTTCTTATTAAATAAAATATTGAAAAATACAAACAGACGAAATTCGCTTGATATGATCCGATATTAGGTACTTAGTACTTACCGTCCGCAAAACAACTGCAGTTATCACAAAATATATGACCGCAGCTGGTCAAATGAAACTGTGTTTTGGTCGTGTTTCCATTTTCTCTGCCTGTAGGTTGAACGAAACACGAGTTGCAATGAATCCAATCCATATTTATTCACAACCAAATTACAAAGAATTAAGCACGGAAATGCCACTAAACTACTTATAAACAGATATCCTATAAGTTTTTATAGTTAAAACATCGAAATGAATACATTTAAAAACCGTAAAAAATTCAACTTTGCGTTCTATTGTCTTCTAACTTTCTGAGTACGGATAATCATCGCATTTTGGCGCCTTTAGTTTACAGTGTAGGCAACACAGCAATATTGTGAGTATTTTTTTTGCAATCATTTTATTTGACAAATTGAATGCGATCTTTAAATTATTGCTAAAAGCCATCATTGTATGTTATCCGCAATATTAATACATTTTAATGTGGTTTACCCACATAATTATATCATATCATAGTATCATCCAATCATATAATCATATATGATGTCATACGTTATTCTGTGTAATCACTAATCAGTATTAAGTATAATATTATCACTTAACACGCACATGTACCCAACTGTCACAACTGCTGAACTGATCAAGTTCAAGAATTAAGACAAACGGAAATTCAATTTTGGATTTAGATGTTGCAAGATTTAAATGTATGTTAAACAGTTTATATTATGCTAAAATTATTACTGTGCGTCTGGATTTAGGTCATATATTATTAAGGAAAAAACTAGAGCTCGGATCGGATTTGTATGTAAATAGAGAATAAGGAATCATCTGAATTTGACAGGTGTTGAATATGTTTCAAAAGCTTCTAAAATGTATGTATACAATTACTAATTAATAGCAAAGGTTTATTTTATACTACAATTTTGAAAAAAAAATTTATGCCTACTTAACTATCCCTATCTAATTGATTTTCATGTGAATACATTAATATACACATGGCTGTTTACTTTTTAGTGATTATTCGTCATAGGTAGATACTTCATTTCAACCTAATACATATTATAGTCCATTACATTATTATAACAAATATAATACCTACCATAATTGTTATCATGGTACCTATTATTAATAATATTAATAATATTATTATCTTGAAAACTTAACAATTTTGTATTTTTGAATTTTTTAAAGTAGGTATAAATTATCCAGATTTCAAAAACTTATAATACTTTTCATATATTTTACTATTTAAATTTTATTTACAATATATGTATATGTATATTTCTATATTTAGGGATATTAAATAATAAATAGGTACCATGAACTAAGATATATCTTAGTTCATGATAGGTACCTAATACACCTATACATATACACAAAACCAATTATCCGAGTCAGTAATGATAATTTATTGATAACATATGGAAATATATTTGATTTTTTTGTTTCTTATTATTTTATTGCTTATTATATTTATAAGTATATTATATCGATAGTAGATCAATTATTTAAATATAATTTTCATGTTTTTGTGCATCTTATTTGCAATTCATCAAGATACACATTTGTTTATCATTCCAAAAATACTTGTATTTTATTCATAATTTTCAATAATTTATCAATGGATTAAGTATTGTTAATCTCAAGTAAAAATATCTTAAAGATATTCTAACATTTATAACTTTGCTTCAAAAACCACCATGTAGATACTGTAATTGTTATCATTTTAAATATAATTATTACTTTTTAATTTAAAGAAATCATTTAAAAATCATCTTTTAATAGTGTTACTATAATGTACCTTCAATTTATTTTATTGATGTAAAAATGAACCATACTTTTCTGTAATTTTAATGTCTATAAGTACTATTATATTTCTTTCTCTATAATATACATACATATTGTATGTATTGTATACAATTTACTAATACATAATTCGTTACTTATTCATACTATTTTTAAACTTGATTAATTTGATGTGGTAAATGGTAATAATGTAATTCACATTATTATTTATTATTTTAAATTAATTATCATCGGACCTCTACCATGACATTGTGTTCTGCAAGTCCAAAATGATCAATTAAAGACTTATTAATTATTATGTCATAATTAATAAACAAATTAGCATTAGGTACCAACTTTTAAGTTAATAAATCCAAGTAGGTACCTTAATTGGCTGCTGGAAAAATTGAAACTTTAAAGTAACATATTATGTGTTTGTTTAAGTATTTAACATATTATGTATAGTATTGTGTAGAAAAATGTAAAGTAGTTTGTTTAAAAAATACAATGACTAATCTGTGAAGAAATAAATATTTTAAGATTATTTAACTATAATATAATCATAACTTTTGTCTTATGTTACTTTACTTCTGTGATATAATAATAATAGTAACACAATTCTCACATGAATTGTTAACAGTTTTAACAGTTGAAAAAGGACTTCTACATTTTTTCTGAAACATACTTTTTTATAAATGACTATAAACACGTTAATTTTAGATTGAAAGCAGATTGCTGTGAATAATAATAAATTTTTGGTGTTTACATAATTTAAAGTAAGATTATTTGTTGTACAATTTATTACTACATATAAGTTACTATGTATTTATAATAAGTATTCAAATTGTTTTCCTCTTTGATTGAAACATATATTTAATCTTTTTTGTAAGTTACTTATACTGGATTCTTTTACTACTTCTGGTGGAATATTCTTGCATTCAGTTATAATTCTCTCCTTAAGTTCTATAATGTCTCTTGGTGGAGTTAAATATACCTTTATTAAAAAATAAGAATGGCATGTATTTAAAGAAGTGTTATACTTTTAATTACACAAGTTCTAAATTATATATTGAGTATATAAATTATTAAAAAATGTGTAGAAAATATGACAATCTCTATACTTTAAATTAAATGTTTCAATATAAATACATATGTATACATACATGTACATATATGTATATTATGTATTCATAACATGTCAAGGGATAATATTATACTTAATACTGATTAGTGATTACACAGAATAACGTATGACATCATGTCATCATATATGATTATATGATAGTATGAAACTATGATATGATATAATTATGTGGGTAAACCACATTAAAATGTATTATTAATATTGCGGATAACATACAATGATACAACAAGCATATTATAATATTTTGTACAAGTACGCGGGAGCGGTTCATTATGACGTGATAACTGATAAATGACACTATTAGCTACTTGTCAGCATAAAGTCAATTTATTACAATTTCTAAAATTTGTAAATAGCTCTCAAGCATAGAGTTTTGCATTAATTAATGTTATTCATTCACTAAAATTCATTAAAAAATTTCCCCCATATTACGATTGCAAAAAAAGTATAGATTTCCATTTGAATTTCTAAAGTTGACCCCCAAAACCCCCCTAAAATGTTGTTAACAATTTTTAAATTGTGAAATCATAATAGATGTTTCTAAATACAAAAACTTTTGTGTAATAAATTATTCACTATTTTGAATATTTATATAATAAAATGGTCGTAACATAAATTTTGAATCACTTTGTATATACCTTATACCAATATAAGGCTGTAAATCAAAATGCTTTCAACCCTTTATACCAGCGATGATATTTTTATATATTGCAGACTAAATCATTTATTATAGGCATATTCGTATTTTTCAACTATTTCGAGTGTGTATAAATGTATAATGTATAATCCGTCATTCTGTTTCGAGGATATGATTTTTTTTTTAATACTTGTCTCAGAAATATAATCAAAATAATACTGGCAGTGATGAAGTATGTAATCACCTAAAAGAGTAAAGAAGGGACATTTTAAAAAATAGACCACAATGTATTATGATTTAAGTCCAGCAATAATCAAGCATAATATATGATTGGCTACTCCAGTGAAGAAAAAAATAATAGTAATAAACTAAGAATTTAAATCAATTTATCCATAATATTTACTTATTTATTCATAGAAGTAACAAATTATTAATTTATTATAACATCACAACATTATTAAAATATTTATACATGCATAATATAATATCTATTATCTAAATCGTAAAAAAAGAATTTATTTGTTTTAAATCGAGAATAGAAATTTTACTCAGCGGTATTTTTTTATCATCCTGCTTGAAGATTGCTTGAATCCGATATTACGTTTAAGATTAAGCTATTTATTAATAATAATAAAAATTGTAAGTATCATATTAAAGTAATTCAATATATCTGTATGACATAATACTAAAAATGTTTTTATATTAACTTGTAAAAGAGAATCCGTTTATTTAACTTCGAGTTTATTGATTGTAGTGAGTTGCCTAGTCTTTGAAATCATTAATTCAACTTTAAATTTAACCTATATAATAATAT